CAAAAATGACCATTTGGGATAGGGTGAGGGAGCCAGGTAGTATAGAAAATATATAATTACTTTATTCCATTGGTGGAAGCACAATACCAGCAGGCAGTTCGGGCAAAGTCCTATGTGTGGAAGACAGAGAAAGAAGGGTTTGACTCTGTTTGAAGCAGGTTAGGCTTTTGCAGGTCAAGTGCTTTAGAGCTAAGGCCAAACAAAGAGTAAGATTTGTCCAGATGAGAAGATGTCTGGAGAGATAAAACAATGTGGAGAGAGGTAAAGGGGTTGAAAAACATGAAATATAGTATTTGTGTAATGGAGTTGTGACTTTCTAAAGCTAAAATGTGAAATGCTGGGACGCAGAGGGTTGATGGAACTCTTCCTGGAAAGGAAGAGTCAGGGCTAATCTCAGGATTCTGACCTTTGCCCTGAGAATTTCTTTTGTTCTTAAAGGGGAATGGCATGAGCTAACTTGTGTTTTAGGAAGATATTTCTGGAAGCTAATGACAGGTGGATCTGGAGACACTGGAGTCTATAAGATGAGCGTATCTATGTTTTAACCACTTATCAAGGGTCATAGATAGGACTAAGGGTAAGCTTTTTAGGTAGTATGCACATTAACTCTTTATCTTAAAACTGTTCCCATTTTATAGCCTTCCTTTACATTTTTTAAAAATTGTGGTAAGATATATGTAACTTAAAATGTACTACCTTAACTATTTTTAAGTGTGTAATTCAGTATTGTTAAGTACATTTCACATTGTTGTGCAACCAGTCACCAGATCGTGACTTTCCTTTTAAGTTAATTTAATTCAGTTTTATTAAAAAGAAATTGAAGGATGCCTGGGTGGCTCAGCTGGTTGAGCGTCTGCCTTCAGCTCAGGTCATGATCCCAGGGTCCTGGGATCAAGCCCTGCATTGGGCTCCGGCTCAGTGAGGAGTCTGCTTCTCCCTCTCACTCTCCCTCTGTGCTTTCTCTCTGTCAAGTAAATAAATAAAATCTTAAAAAAAAATTGAAATTTGTACAAATTTAACTTTTTTGGTAATAATTACTGATGGCTGCTTAACACTTTACATTGTGTAATGCTCTTTAACATATATGATCTCATTTGATCCTCATAAACATCCTTCTGAGGTAGATATTATCCCCGTTTTACAGATGAGAAAGCTGAGGCCAAGAGCCAAAAGACCAGACAAGCTTGGGGGTGTGTTTATCCTGGAGAAACGACGAGTGTCACCCAGATTTATAAGCTGAGGATTTCACCCATCCAATCAGTCATGCAGCAAATATTATCCGAGTACCTAGTATGTGCCCAGTTAGGAGAATGATGTTGAGCAAAATAGACATATTCCCTGCATTTATGAAGCTCAAGGACTAGTGGGGTAAACAGGCATTCATCAAGAAGTCATAAGGGGCGCCTGGCTGGCTCAGTCAGTGGAGCATGTGACTCTTGATCTTGGGGTTGTGAGTTCAAGTCCCACACTGGGTGTAAAGATTACTTAAAAATAAAATCTTTAGGGGCGCCTGGGTGGTTCAGTCAGTTAAACGTCAGACTCTTGTTTTCGGCTCAGATCAAGATCTCAGGGTCCTGGGATCAAGCTCCCTATCTGGCTCCGTGCTCAGAGGGGAGTTTGCTTGAGATTCTCTCTCTCTCCTTCTTCCCCTCCCCCTGCCCCTGCTTGTATGTGCACATGTGGGCATGCTTTCTCTCTCAAATAAATAAATAAATCTTAAAAAAAAAAATAGGAGCGGGGCACCTGAATGTCTCAGTCAGTTAAGCATCTGCCTTCAGCTCAGGTCATGATCTCAGAGTTCTGGGATAGAGCTCTGGGCATGTTCTCTGCTCAGCAGGGAGTCTGCTTCTCCCTCTCACTCTCTCTCTGTGCTCTCTCTCAAATAAATAAATAAAATTTAAAAAAAAATAGGGGCGCCTGGGTGGCTCAGTCAGTTAAGTGTCTGCCTTCGGCTCAGTTCATGATCCTGGGGTCCTGGGATGGAGCCTGTATTGGGGTTCCCTGCTCAGTGGGGAGTCTGCTTCTCTCTCTCCCTCTGCCCTTCCCCCTGCTCCTGCGTGCTTTCTCTCAAATAAATAAATAAAATCTTAAAAAAAAATAAATACCACTTCTTCTGAAAAACCTTTAAAAAATAAAGTAAAATCTTTAAACTTCACAGGGAAAGACAATGTAAAATATCTTCGTTTGAGAGCAGCTCAGGACCACGTATACTTATGCTATATGCATTTGTAAACCTTCCAAAATGATTCACCCTGACATTTCCATGTGTCTGTCTAATCCACAATATCCTTTCCTTGACATTATATGATTTGTATACTGACCCCCAACCTTGTGAGGTAAGCAGGCAAGTGTGACTGTCTATATTTTACTGATGAAAAATTCGAGTCTCAAAGAGGTTAGATAACTTGACTAAAACCACATGACTAGTTAATGGTGAAGCTGGGATTTGAATCCAGGTCTTGTAACACCTAGATTGTTATTCTTGTAGTATTCATTCTTCCATCTATTCATTCCTTCATCAAATATGCACTGATCATCTTCTGAGTGTCAGCCTACATAGGGAGCGGTCAAGAGCCACTGAAGGGTTTGAAGCAGGAAAGCAGCATGATCCAATTTAGTTTTTTTAAAAGATTTTATTTATTGGGGCGCCTGGGTGGCTCAGTCATTAGGTGTCTGCCTTTGGCTCAGGTCATGGTCCCAGCGTCCTGGGATCGAGCCCCACATCAGGCTCCCTGCTCAGCGGGGAGCCTGCTTCTCCCTCTCCAGCTCCCTGTGCTTGTGTTCCCTCTCACTCTCTCTCTGTCAAATAAATAAATAAAATCTTTTTTAAAAATTAAAAAAATAAAGATTTCATTTATTAGAGAGAGAGCATGAGGAGAGCATGAGCAGGGGGAGGGGCAGAGGGATAGGGAGAAGCAGGCTCCCCGCTGAGCAGGGAAGCCCTACACAGGGCTGGATTCCAGGCCAGGACCCTGGGATCATGACCTGAGCCAAAGGCAGATACTTAACCAACTAAGCCACCCAGGTGCTCCTCCAATTTAGGTTTTAGATGAGAGGGCAATGATGGTTTCCATAATATGGTCTGGGACCACCTACTGGGTCTGAATCTCTGGGATTGGGGCTCAGGAATGTCACCATCAGCCAGGTTTGGGAATTCCTTTCCAATTCTAATGCAATGAGGAGAGAGGAGCACTGTATTAGAGAAGGAGGTGGTGCAAACAGTTAACATGACTAAGGTTGTGGCTGTAGTGAGAGCCAACCAGGTAAGAAGTGATGAAGTACAGGGACAAAGTGATACATTTGAGGATCATTAGAAAGCATGGGCAGGACAGTGGCTGAGGTTCAAAGAACTAGAGCTGGGATTCCTGCCTGGGGCCTCATGCTCTGGAGCCTGTGCACTTTATTGCACATAGACTTTTATAACCATGTCCCGATTTTAAATATTTATATTTACATCTCTTGGCCCTTGTTTTGCAGATCTCCATCTTATTTCAAACTGTCTTCAAGTCTTGTATTTCTCCCTCACTTTCATAAAGCCTAGGAGAGACATTAGGGACAGACAAGTAAGGCCTTACAAGCTTTAAAATATTTATTTCTTTGGGGCTGGGTGCCTAGGCAAGGAAAAAATAGATTTGATTAGACAAGCACAAACTCTGGGAGAGAATAGTAAGATACTGGGGAGATGCATCTCCCCTTCTATAAACCATAGAAGGCCTCCAGAAAACCTGAAGACAATAATCCCAGAAGCCCAGAGGGTGACCGTATTTCCTCTCCAAGGTTATTACTGGGTTTCAAGCTGGAGCAGTTCAAGAATTCAGAAACTGTAAAGAATCCACAACAGCTTCAACTACCATCTCCCCAAACATCAACATCAACAACCTTGACAATAAAATTTTTAAAATTCGGGGCACCTGGGTGGCTCAGTTGGTTAAGCATCTGTCTGCCTTCGACTCAGGTCATGATCTCCGGGTCCTCGGATGGAGCCCCGCATCAGGCTTCCTGCTTATTAGGGCATCAGCTTCTCTCTCTCTCCCTCTGCTCCTCCCCACTGTTCATTCTCTCTCTCAAATAATCTTTTTTTAAAAAAGATTTTATTTGACAGAGAAAGACACAGCAAGAGAGGGAACACAAGCAGGGGGAGTGGGAGAGAGAGAAGCAGGCTTCCCCTTGAACAGGGAGCGTGATGTGGGGCTCGATCCCAGGACCCTGGGATCATGACCCAAGCCAAAGGCAGACGCTTAACGACTGAGCCACCCAGGCGCCCCAATAAATAAAATCTTTAAAAATACATTAAAAGGGGTGTCTGGTGGCTCAGTTGGTTAGCGACTGCCTCCGGCTCAGGTCATGATCCTGGAGTCCCGGGATCGAGTCCCGCATCGGGCTCCCTGCTCGGCAGGGAGTCTGCTTCTCCCTCTGACCCTACCCCCTCTCATGTGCTCTCTCTCATTCTCTCTCTTTCAAACAAATAAAATCTTTAAAAAAAAAAAATAAAAATATATTAAAAGTAGTCTCCTTCCCACCCGCAACCACAGACCTGAAGAGGGCAGATGGGACTGTGGGGGATTCGTCTGCATCCGGGGTCTGGGTTTCCCAGGGTCTCGGGGAGGCGAGAAACTGACACCCGAATTTCTGAATGCAGGCATCAGAGGCTGAGGACACCTCCACTCTCTCCTCACTGCCAGGTAGCTCAGGATTAAAGTGCACTGAGGCAAAGGCTATGGTTGGCAGTACAGGGGCTTAGCCAAGCAGGTGGGCGGGAATGGAGGTGTGGGAGAAAAGGCTGGGAAAGTGGGTGTGGTGGGATCCTACCACTGGCATTTGGGTTGGGGTGTGAGAAGCACCTGGGGGAGGTGCCCTGGAGGATGACCAATCAGAGAGCGGGTTGCGGCCCAGGGGCAGGACAGGGGTGTATCTTGGTCGAGATTGGATAACGGTCTGGAGCTGGGAGGGGCCGCGCACCGCCCGGGCCCGCGGCTCTGCAATTTATGTTCAGAAGCCCCCGCGGCGCCGGCGGTGGAAGTCGTCTGACTGTGGCGCACTTGCGGGAATCTGACGCTACTCGCTTGCCGCGGAGTTCCTTGCCTGGGAGTTCCGCGTGCGTTTCGTCCTGCCCCAAAGTTCGCTCCATCCTGGTGCCCCAACCTCTTGCCCAGCTTCTCAAGCTCCGGACCTCGACGTCTGCAGAACGAAATGGTCACAGCCATGAATGCCTCGGACGAAATAGAGCAGATATTGCAGCCTTACAACTTCGAGCTGTTCCGGGACATGAGGCCCCTTTTGGAGGAGTACTGGTGAGACCTGGGGAAGGCGAAGGGCCGTGCCAGGGTCCTGATCTTGATGACTGCTATAGGGGGTGGGGTGGTGGGGAGGGGAGGAGACACTGGATGCCTGCAATGATTTTCTTAAAGAGCAAAGGTATCGGGCTCCTCTACTGGCTCCATATCCCTGTTGTCCAAGGTGCAGTTAGCGTGGCATCTCAGAGATTAGATGCGGAGGAAAGAAAGAAAGAATGAGAGAGAAAGAAAGAGAGAAAGAAAGAAAGAGAGAGAGAGAGAAAGAAAGAGAAAGAAAGAGAGAAAGAAAGAGAGAAAGAAAGAAAAAGAAAAGAAAGATAGAAAAAGAAAGAAAGAAAGGAAGGAGACAGGAAGGAAGGAAGGGAGAAAGGAAGAAAATGGGTTGAGGAAAGTAGGAGACAGAAACCCAGAGGAAAGAGTGTAGTGAGAAATGATCTCTGAGGAAGGGGTTGATCTGAACTCCTACTCCCACCCACCTTATAGACGACTCTCCTCAGTCCTTTGTGGTGGTGTGTGCAGGCGTGCGGGCATAGTGCTGGTCCCAGGGACAGTCTGCCTTCACAATTATCACACTATTCCCCAAATGCTCCATTGTCCCTGCTGTGGAGAAGGAGACACAGTCAGGGAGCTCTTTCAAAATTACCCCCAGGCTCTGACTTTGCCCTAAAGTTCCTCAGAGGTGTTTGTGGGCTGACTTTGTGCTCCAGCCAATTTGCCATAACCCAACCAGGAAGAAACTATTGCCACATTCTTCTTATACCAGACCTCTGGGTTGGTTCAAGGCATGGACACAGCAGCTGTCAGCCACTCAATTCCACTGAGAGCAATAATCACAGAAGCCTTGAACACAGCCCCTGCCTTGTGCTAGGTACTTTATATACCTTAACACTGTCAGGCGAGGAGTGTTATTTCTCCTTTATGATAAGGAAACTGAGGCTCAGAGAACTAAGTAGTTTTTTCCCAATGTCACACAGCTAGTAAGTGGCAGAGCTGGGACTCCAACCCAGAGCACTCACCTTGAGAGACCAGTGGGCATTCCTGTAACCAGCACCCACCCATAAGACCATCCCCTCTGCCTTCTGCCTGCCAGGGCAACCTCATTCCTCATAGCTCTGGTCTACCTGCTACTCATCTTTGTGGGGCAGAACTACATGAAGGCACGGAAGGGCTTCAACCTGCAGGGGCCTCTGATCCTTTGGTCCTTCTGCCTTGCACTCTTCAGGTAAGACCCCCCTACCCCCAATCTCCACTCCCTGCCTATCCTGTAGACCCTAGACCCTCATTCTATCACTAAAACCTTTCTGGAAACCCCAAGTGAGTCAATGCCCCAAGTTGCCCTCTAACTCTTTCCCTAGCCCATTCACTCAGCTCCAGCTCCCTCCCCGGCTTCCATCCTCCTCCCACATTACCCTATTTACTTTCTTCCCCAGGCCCCATACAGGCAGCCTCTGCTCTCTCTCATGAGTCCTCTTGTGCTCATGGAGTCTGTGTACTTTTAACAATTTTCTCTAGCCTCTAATGCTCTCAGAATCTAACACCCTCTCTCCCCACTCCCCCCAAAAAACACCCTCTCCCAAGACCTTCCAATAACTTCTGTAGCCCCTCCTTCCCAGATTTCATCCCCCAAACTCCCTCTGTCTCCCCTATCCTGTTGCCCATCCCCTCCCGTGTTCCTACCCATCCCAAGAACCCTAGTCCCTAACTCAGTTTTCAATCCCATCCTCCAGCATCCCCTGGCCCTTCCCCAGCCTTCATATCCTCTAGATTACTGGTTGGATCCTGGGCCCAAGATCTCAGAAGCTGTGACTCATTCTGCTGGAAGGGGGAAGTGGTGGAGCTTGGGACAGTGACCCGCCAGGCCACGGGGGAAGGGTGAATTGGTGCCTGGGGATGACCCTTACACCCTTTTCCTCTATCCCACTTCAGTATCCTGGGGGCACTGAGGACATGGGGCCATATGGCTACCCTGCTACTTAAGGGGGACCTAAAGCAAACTGTGTGCTTCTCCACCTTCGCCACCACTCCCATAATCAGATTCTGGTCCTGCCTCTTTGTTCTCAGCAAGATCATTGAACTTGGTGAGTGGCACGTCTTTGTCTCTCTGGTGCCCAGTCAACTGCATCCCTCCTCAGGGCCCCCCCTACAACCCCCATCACATGGAGAGTCCCTTCCCCACCCTAACACCTCTTACCCAAGCCCCTCTTTAAATTATTTGCCACAAAGACCCTTCTCCATGCCCTGAGAATTCCCCCTATGTCCCTATATCCATCATGGAGGGTGGTGCCAACACTGGTATGCCAGCTATGACTCCCCATCTCCCAGGAGACACAGCCTTCATCATCCTGCGTAAGCGGCCACTCATCTTTGTGCACTGGTACCACCACAGCACAGTGCTAGTGTACACGAGCTTTGGATACAAGAACAAGGTGTCTGCAGGCGGCTGGTTCATGACCATGAACTTCGGTGTGCATGCCATCATGTACGTCTACTACACTCTGAGAGCTGCCAAAGTCAAGTCCCCCAAGTGGTTACCCATGCTCATCACCAGCCTGCAGATCCTGCAGATGTTTATGGGAACCGTTGTTGGCATCCTAACTTACATCTGGAGACAGGAACAGGGATGCCACACCACAATGGAGCACTTCTTCTGGTCCCTTGTCTTGTATACGACCTATTTCATCCTCTTTGCCCATTTCTTCCACCAAACCTACATAGTGCCCAAAGTCAAAGCCAAGACCAAGAGTCAGTGAAGGGTTGGAGAAAAAGGAACCCCAGGCTCTCTCCCTGCCAAGGCACCAAAGGGTTGAGCTTAGGTTTGGGAGAATAATTAGGAGGCCTTCCCTGCATGGTTTTTCCCATGGGATCTGTGCCCCAAGGTGGCAGGAAGTTATGTCAGACAAGAAGTGTCAGCCGTGGGTGGGTTGTAATCTAGTACTTTGATGTTTCTGTTTTTAATGTGAAGGCCAAGCAAGCCCTGGCTGGGATGGGGGTAGAACTGAGGAGGATTTCCAGAGCTGAATTTATATTTCTATCCAGAAATCTTCTTGCTCCATTTTTAAATTAAAGATTTCAACAAGTCTTTTTTGGGGGGTTTTGAGATTTGGGGGAAGAGGACTGCTGTGATGGGAGAGGGCTGCTGGCAGCGGGATGGTTGGTCACTGAGTGAGAAGTCTAAGGAGGTATGAAGGTGTGTGGAAAGATGAGAGGCACACACACACTCAATAAGAATTCTAGGCCTGGTAGGCACTTAATAAATGTCTGTTACAGACCAGAATTTTATTGCTATTCGAGACCCAAGCCCCTCACAGGAACAGTGAAAAACAGGTGCAGAAAGGCGGTGTAACTTATCTAAGGTCAGTCTTCCTAAGTTGCAGAATTGACACCGGCAAGCAAGCGTTCCAGACCAGAACTTCCTGTTATCCTCCATGAGACCACGAGGTGGCGCCGCAGCACCAGCTTTGGCCAACGCCAGCCAAGTAGCTAGTCCCTAAGCCACACCTACATACTCGCACGCAGGTCCCCCCGCCGCCAGGAATCCCCCAGTTGCCCCATCCCGGTGTTGGGAGCTGAGAGGGGACTGAAGCCCTAGAATCCCGGGCCCTCACCTCTTTCCTGTACACCCAGCTCTCCTTTAGACATGGGGTAGCCTGAGGGGAGGGGGCTCAACCGCAACTCTGAATCACCAGGCCTTTGGCAGTCCGCGCACGTTTATTTCATTTATCTTTGAAAATGGGGGAGGGGAGTCTGGAGAAGGCGGGGTGGGCCAAGGGTCACTTGGCCCCCGGGGAACTGGTCCCTGTTGCTGGCCTTAGTCCCAGGGGCGTGGACTGTGTGTAGGGTGTGTAGGGCCCAGTCCATCCCTCAGGGCCGGCCGGGGGGAGGCTCTCTCCTGAGCTGGCCGCCCACCCCTCCGCCCTCCCCGAGCTGCCCCAGCACCCCTCTCAGACCCCGGGGTAGGGGCAAGCCAGTCAAGACGACCCCAGTCCGGGGAGGCTGTGAATTCTCGCCCCCGCCCTCGGGGATGGTCGACGGACCGGGCCGTTCATACGGGCCGTTCCACGGCGTACTGGCACGGACTGAGGTTGGCGGCCGGGGGCGGCCCGGGCACGGCGGGATAGCTGAAAGAGGCGTGCTGTTTGGCCTTGAGCCTCAGGCTGGCCAGACTCGAGTTACACGGGTCCCGATATACGTAGGGGGAGGAGGCGGCTGCAGCTGCGGCTGCAGCGGCCGAGGCGTAAGGGCAGGATACTGCCCCGGAGGACACTGCGGCCGGAGCCAGCCCGGGGGGCCCCCCGCCCAGGCCCTGCAGGGCCCCGGGCCCTGGCACGGTGCCCGGGGCGGCTGCGGCCGAGGGCACCATGGAGGCGGCGATGGAGCTGGGTGGCGAGAAGACGGGCTGCGAAGCCAGAGGCCCCACGTTGACTGAGTTGAAGGCGAACGGGAAGGTCTTGGCGGCGAGCGGCGGGCCAAGCGCTTTGGGTGGCCAATTGCCATACGAGTAGCCCGGGTACACCTCCTCGTAGGGCGGCACCAGCCCCCCTAGTGGCGCGGCGAAGCCGCCCTTGCACAGCTCGGCTTGCTGGCTGCGCTCGCGCTTCCGCCACTTGGCGCGCCGGTTCTTGAACCACACCTGCGGGCGTTGGAGAGAGGCTGTCAGGGCAGGAGCCGGGCGGGGGGCCGACCTGGGTCCGCGCGGCTGGCGGCGGGGTCACCGAGACCGGGGTTCGGGTCAAGGACCGCGCCAAGGATAAACAAAACGGAAGCGGGGCGGCCAGGGGGTGGGAGGAGCGCACCGAGTCAGGAGGCTGAGAACAGAAGTGGGCGGCACGACTGGGTCAGGGGCAACAGGGCCGGGCGGGGGGAGCGCGTAGGATGGAGTCAAGGAGGGGTGAAGAAGAGAACGGGAGACAGTGCCGGGGGAGAAGGAACGAGTGGCCTGGAGCGACCGGGTGGATGGAGTCAGAGCAGAGGCCGGAGGCTGGTGCAAAGGAGGCTGTGCGGGGCAGCCCATAGAGGCAGGGGCACGTCGGGTGTTGGGCCGAGGATAGGCAGTCAGGGCGAAGCGCAGGCTGCTGGCTCCAGGGCAGCTCGCTGAGCGGCCAGTGAGAAGGAGGCCCCGGGCCGGAGCGGGAAGGCGGGCGGGGGCGCGGGGTAGGAGAGGGTTGCGGGTTTGGGAGGGCCGTACCCTCACGCGGGCCTCGGTGAGGTTGGTCCACACCGCGATCTCTTCGCGCGTACTCATGTCGGGGTAGCGGTTCCTCTGGAAGGTCGCCTCCAGCTCCTGCAGCTGCTGGCTGGTGAAGTGGGTGCGCTGCCGCCGCTGCTTCTTCTTCAGCGAGCCGTCTTCCGGGGAGCCGCCGGGCAGCGAAGCCGAGGCCTTCTCTGAGTCTGGGGGCCGAGGTTGGGGCAGGTCACAGGCCGCCCAGGCCTGCGCGGATTCCGCGGCTCAAGGACCTCCTCCACTGACCCCTCACTCTCCCACCCGACCTTCCGCTGCCAGATCCCACCCCCAGGAGGGACTGAACTGTTCTCTCCCCTACCCCCAGTAGGGGGTGCGCTCACCACTGTGCTCTGGGCCCTTGCAGCCGTGCTCTGGGAGTGGCGGATGGGGAGTGCCCGCATCTGACAGCGAGAGGGCCGGGCTCCTGGCCTCCGCCTCGCTAAGCAGGCCGAACTCCATGGAGGGAGGACTCTGGAACGGAGAGAAGACACAGGCCAGGTTGATGGGGATAAAATCTCCCGGTTATCGGGTTCCCAGTAGTGTTTCCCCTCAAGTTCATTGCCCCTTTCTCAGCTACCGACATAAACCTACCCCTGTGTGGAGTACCCTAGGATAAAATAGGGAAACAGCAGCCTAAGGGGAGAAAGGTGTGTACCCAGGGGTATTACGCACAGACATGCACACTAGACTGTGTTTTGTTCACTGCTGGGCACCTAACTAGAACTCTGCCTGGTGCCCAGTTGGTGTTCAGTAGATATTTATTGAATTAGCTAAGGAAAACCACGCTATTGTGCACCACATACTGTATACCACATCCTCAAAAACTTCAGTTCCTTCTCACATGTATGTCCAGTATCCACACAAACTCATACATGCCCCTCAGCCAATCACACCTGAACACAGCCTGAACTTCTGTTACTCTCTGGTGGGACAGATTTGATTTTGAAGCAGACCCAGTATGTCTCGCATGAGGATAACCACTGCTATTATTTATGAATACTTACGATGTGCCTTTACCTCATTATCTTTCTCCTCACAAGAATGCATCAATATTAAGTATTATCACCCTCGTTCAGGTGAGGAAACAGACATGAAGTAACCACTAGGGTCACAGAGCTTAGTATGTGGTGAAACTGATCTGAACCAGGTCTGGGAAACTCCTAAGCTAATGTTTTTTCTTCATTTGCTTTTTCCATTTGTTTTCCTTGGGGCCCTACCCAGACACCCCCTCAGGGACTGGAACTTGGGGCTAGCCTCACGGATAGAAGTCTGGCTTGGCCTTGCTTGGGTCTGCTTCAACCCGGGCAGTCCTGCTTTTGCTTGTTTTGTTTATGCTTTCTAGGGAGATAGCATTTGAAGAAAGGATTCCAGGATCAAAAACAAGTTCGAAAGTCCCTAGGCCTTCTGGCCTTGTCTGCTTCTGTGCCCGTGCAGACACACCTCACCCCCTCACCGGTTCCACCCATGCCAGCCTCTACTGCCCACCCCCACCCCTCACCGCTGCAGATGTGAGCTTCTTAAAGCCACAATCCCGCCCTTTTTCCCTATCCCAGGAGACGACCGGGGTCCCTCTCCAAGTCTCCCCAGGAGGGTCCCCCTTGCTGCTGGCTCTCCCAAGCCCCCTCTGGTGGGAGGAGGAGAAAGGGGCACTAAGTGAGGCTCAAGAACTCTGGATGCCTCTTGGTCAGAGGAGAACCAAAGGAGTCTAGGGACAGAGGAACAGGGGTAAAGAGCTGGCTAGGAGGGGTCCATCTGCCTCTCCATTAACAGGGACTTAATGCAGGCTGTGCAGGGTGGCATTAATGTGGTGGATTAGCCTAGATTGAGATGTGTGTCACTTGGCTGTTCTGAATTTATAAGGAGCCTTTCCCTGGGAGGCGCAGATGGGCAGCGGCCTGTATTTGCACATGGTAATGCCCCCGTCAACCAGCTGAGAGAGGACAGCTGCCCCCCCAACCTCTCAAGTGAGATTGGGGGTGCAACAGAGGTCAAGGCAGGAGGTTGAGAAGCAGTCCCTGTTCTTTTTGCAGGGGGCAGGGTCTAGACTTGGACCTTTTTCTAAGGTTGGAGAGGCAGGACTGAAGGGAACCGGGAAGGAGAGAAGTCAGGCTAGGGGTGGGGATGCTCAGCTCACCTCCCCTTCCAGGTCTGTGGTCAGGAGTCAGAGGCTTGGGGCTGGCCCAGCGATGCTCTGATAGAAGGGACATGACCTTGGGTGAGACCTGTGGCAGCCTTGACTAGTAGTTCTTCCCAAATAGCCCAAAAGGCTTAGAACTGAGAGCTGGAAAAAGGGGTGCTCTGAAGTCTCCTCCTTATACCTAAGATGCTCTCAAAATGCAAGCCATGCCCCTGGCTTCTCCAGAGGCCATGGGAACACACCACTGGGAAAAAAAGGACGATTTGGTTCACCTGTAGGGAAAACTAAATCCCACCGGTGCCATTTGTCTTTCCAGTCTGCCTTGGCTCCACATTTCCAGTATTCCAAACTCCCCTTCCCCCAGCAGTCCGTACCTGTGTCTCCGTTTCACCCTCAACTGCAGCAGAGGGAGGCAGGGTGGAGAGAGATAAGGGCCAGAGTAAGAGCTGAGGCCAGAAAGCAGAGTTCAGGCTGTGTATTCCCAGAGACAGACAGACACACATGCAGACACACACAAGCCCCCACTCAGACAAAATAAGCACTTGGACTTGGAGCTAGAGGCATACAAACACATACTCTCCCACACATGCGCTCCCACATTCAGGCAGACAGACCCACACCGTCACACAGTCTCCTCTCTCTGTGACAGGGACAGCTGCCTTGGCTGTTTTAGAGCTAGCCATTACTCTCCCCCCCTGCCTGGCCCCTCTGAACCTCAGCTCTCAGTCCCAGGAACTAAGGACTCTGTGGGGGAGGAGAAGGCCAAAGGGGCCAGGGGAGTGGTCTATACTCAGTGGCTGCTGGGACACCCTGTTTCCCTGGGTGGGGAGAAGTCTGAGAGAAGAGGATGGCTTGGGGGTAGAGGGTGGAAACTGCCCAGGCCCCTCCTAGGAAAGTAATCTGGAATAGCTGGAAGGAAATAGGTTTGGAGACAAAAGATCTGGGTTCATGTCCTGGCTCCCCAACTTACTAGCTGTGTGTTCTTGGCAAAGTACTTTACCTTTCTGGACATATTTTTTCATCTCTAAAAGGGAGATCATACTCCCTTCCCTACCTACCTCTAGTATTGTTATAAGGTTAAAATAAAACATAATATAAAAATGAATGGAGATAAAACTCTATCCAAGTTGCTTCCCCACGCCCCCCTCCCCATTCATTGAACAGATGTCTATTTGGCACCGTCTATGAGCTGGGCACTGAGTAAAGCACTGAGGATAGAATGGTAAGTAAGATCTCATCCTTGTCTCTGCCTTTGCTTGAGTTCACCTTCCTAGACACTGTATCACCCAGTGAAGAATTCCTCTGGTGAATAAAGGGTGAGTACACTGCATTTGAGAGTGGGATGCAAAGGTGTGTTGTGAATACTTGGCCCTGAACATAAAGGAGGGCCCAGCCAATAAGGTAACAGCAAAATGGCCAGAGTAACCGAAGCTAAGAGCAATGGTAAAGGGAAGAAGGAAACCTTCAGGCTCTTGACCTGTGTAGTAACAGTGGAAAGAGGGGTTGAGGCCGAGAAGAGCCCTGCCTGCGAAAATGAAAAGGCCAGAACACCACAGCCAGGCAGGCAACAGAGAGATAGACGGCGGGGGCACAGGCCTCCAGCCGACTCACGTCCGGGTGGGCTAGCCAGGCAGAGGCTGGGGGTGCCAGGCTGTTGTCTGAGCTGGAGACAGCCTGGCTGAGGATTAAGCTCCCCCAAACTGTTGGAGGTCAGGAAGCTGGGGAGTTGGGACTGAGGCCAGGGGCTTCGCCTCACTCAGTGGACAGGGACAAGCAGTAGGTCTGGAAGCTGCGGGATTGGTTGATGCTGGTAGGAAATACCAGGCAGGGGCAGAGAGAGTCAGTAGATAACAGTGGGGTGCTGAATCCAGCTCTGGGAGGGGCTGCCGGTCCCCCCTCCAGCCTTCCTGACACACCCTACTGGGGATGTATGGGCCAGGCTCCATGGCGTCAGGGTGACAATCCCCACACTGGGGAGAAGAAAGGAACTGCAGGTGTGCTCTGATTCTTTAGTAAAGGCTGGAATTACAGGAAGCCTATCATGGACTGCAGCAAGAACAAAACATTCAAGATATATTAAGGTGGAGAGCACAGGTTATCCCAGGTCAGAGAGGTCAGGGAGGGGAGGCCATGGTTTCCAAGGGACCCAAGCTCATGGCAAGAAGGCAACTGCCACGTGTGCCCACTTATGCCCTGTTGCCAAAGGGGCAAATCAGGGCCGCAGCTAGAGAGCTCCCAAGTAATTGCAATAATGATGCCTGGGCAGAAGGTGTACCCTAGACCTGAGATAGGAGAAAACCCCTGGAAGATGGAAGGGATAGAGTCGTGGCACCATGGCTCAGCTCAGCAACTAGCAAGTTGGTGATAGAGTATAAACCAGGGCCCTTAACTAGCATGGAACCCGCCTACAAACCTGGATCTGAAAGTAAGCCCTTTAAGTTCATTAGGGATGCTGAGGATCCAACCTGTCGGGTCTGCCGAGCTGCGGTGAGCAAATGGGCGCAAATGAAGACAGCTCTAGACGAAGGTCACAGACCCAAGAGGAAACCCTAAGACTTGAGTGGTGGCAACAAAGATTCCATGCAGTTAATTTATCAAGGGGTAAATTAGGGATCAGAGAAATGGGCCCCCACACCCACCCCTCCCCTTCCTTCCGTCTTTCCTTCAGCAAGTGTTAGGTGCTAGGACAGATCCCCAAGAACGGTAAGGCACAGACCCTAATTTCTAGGAGTCTACAGTCTGGGAAGGTAAATAGGATGGACAATGATGGGTTAAATAGGCCTAATTCTCACACTGTGGGGGTGAGAGAGATGGAAGCCCATGTAAGGTGGTATCAAGTTATGGGGCTCAGAGAATGTAGCACATGGCAGAGCTGGGAACCGGGGAGGCAGAGAAGGAGCAGAGACTTCTAAATAATACAGCAGTACTGGGAATGAGCTGGCAGGTTCCGAGGGCAACAGGCAGCCTCAGGCGGCCAGGGTCTCAGTGTGGGCAATGGGAAATCATCAGAAGAAAACAGGTCAGGCTGCGGGAGCCTCCAATGAAGGGCATGGGATGGTGCTTCAGGTTTGATAGAGTCTAAGCTAAAGCATCTCCAGCTTTTCCATCAAAACCTCCTAAGACCAGTAAGAGAGAACATCACTCTGGGAAACTAGGAGCACAACCTCGAACAGCTGCCACCGGCATGAAATTTCTTTGAGATCTCCAGCCTTACGTTAAAAATTGAAGCAAGTTTTGCATTCTATTCCACACTTAAGTATATTTATTTTGATATAAAAGTAAAGTTTTCTCTCCACGTCTCCAAGTGACATCTTCAAGTGAC